GTACCAACGTTACAGTCATTTCCCTTTCTTCTAACAAGAACCTCTGTGCTTATATCTGTGTAGATCCCGTCTACATAGGGGAGAGTAGCACATGCTGATGTTCTGATATCCTATCAGAACATTTTCGGAAAAGGAAAATCCTGTTGGGGATTCGGAACGGTTAGCCGTTACCGTATCCCTCATCATCACCCATACACTCACTCACTGCTTTGAAGAAAATTGTAAGCAAAAAAAACATTTGTCTTTCATAGTGACAGAAAAAAGACACTGTAAAGATAGTGTATGGGTGATAGGAACGAACATTTTGGACCAAGATTCTTCTGTAGAGCTCGTTGTCGTTGTAGTATATGCTCTCTTCCCGGTGGCTGTGGAGAGAACGCTGGAGGTAGTATTTCAGTTGTGCGAGTTTCCACATCTGAAGCCAACAAAGTATTACAAAATAGTTTTCATATAGTGTAACGCTGCCCTGTCGTTCAAATTAATTCAGGCAAAACTGTCTATTGGCTCAACTTTCGAAGTGAACCGCGATGGTTACAAGATCTTGAAAGTGGCCTTGGACTTCCACCCTCAACTGGTGTAGCTTCCAACTCACTACGTTATTGACAGGGCTCCTATCCACGTCCCAAGGGTAGGACGTTCTCCGATGCTAGTATTTCATGTTCTATAGCTCTACTATGTAGTGCACGTACATAGTACTTGCCATACGCTATGGCACAGTCCACGTTGACGAAGGAGGCAGTAATTCACTTGTAAACTCTCTATTAAAGTTCGAGTTTACGATACAAATGGCTTCTGAGATATTACCTTAGGTAAATCATCTCTCCAAGCCCCAAAGATGAATGAGTTTTGACGGCATTGTAGAGGCTGCCTCTCAGAANAACAGCAGTAACCGCAGATTTAACGTGCCAAAAGAACCATCCAAAAACAAAGTAGTAAGAAAGCCAGTTTTGGAATCAAAGACAAATAATAATAAATGGTTGCACACTGGTAGAATTTGTAATCGTTAAATGAGCTCACCTGATGGGTGTCTTGCTTCATTGCTAAATTTTGGTGGTGGGGAAAATGATCCGAAGTCATCAGTGGTGAAGATGTCCTCCTGAAATTTTTCATCAAACTTCATGAAGTATAGAACAGACGTATCAGCGGGCATATCATATCCCTCCCACCTTGGCATCGAATGGCGATTTGTCTGCGTGCAAAACCTCAAAAGCCATAGGATCAGTGAAATTGTCTTCAGCCAATATCCATCGTATTATCGCTGCTACAAGAGCGATTCGCATCTGCAATAGGTGGAAGTAGCTGTTGCTTCAGGGTCTATAATGTTGCTAACCGTTTGTGAAGTCACACAGTTTTGAAAGAAACACCATCAAGAGAAGCCCAGCAGACCCATCGTACTTGGTCCATGAATTTTAACTTGACCGTCTTAATTGTGATCTCGTTTCTTCAGTCATAATAACCACTATAGATAGTTTTCTGCATGCAACGTCATCGGGCCATGCAGTTTTTGGANGTGTCCCGCCCACTGCAAAAACTCCGCCCACTTAGGCCCGCCGGAGAAATAAAACTGTTGATTCACGTAGGAAAATGCCATCTTGTTCACGTTTCCATTTCTTCCTACTACCCCAGAGAACACTTCTTCTTTCGAAGATCTATGATCACCCAAAAGTTAAAAATTTGGTAGAAAGCAACAAAAGCCAAGTCTGTGAAGCTGTAAAAATGACGCTGTCGCTCACAGGACCCACAGAAAGGGCCGGTGAAAAAGAGCAATTCAGAATCAAAATTAAAAAACCTAAAGGCAACGTTCAAAAGAACAATGTGCCCCTCTTTTTGATGAATTCACACACATGAACAGGAGAAGAAACCAAAAGAATGGGAATCCGTCGGGTTGGTCTGGTTCGACAGCTGAAATCGTGGTTTGGGATAAGACCAAAAAAGCCTAAATTGGATATTTTCCATTGAAAAGCGTTTGAAAAATGCAAAAGCCCGACGGGATTCTTTGAGGTCAAGTGTAGCACGGTGAAGTGGCTTCACAATATTCCGTTCGGAGATCAAGTCGCTAGTCCAACTAGTCCAACTCAGCCCTATTGATAAGCTCTTCAGCTGGGAACAGCCAATTACCACCGAGAAAGACGTAAGAATTGTTTTGAAAATTAGCCGTTAGTCTGCATCGAGCAGATGCAATGCGCATTCCATTGAGGCTACCATTCCGAATGGACACCGAATGTGCGGCCCATTTTGGTGAGGCGTTTTCAACAATATACGATTCACTACTTAAAATCCTGCGCAGTTACGACCCGAGTTTTGAACCCGTGACCATGTGTGTATGATAATCCGCCACTTGCCGCTACATCACAATGTATTCTCATATTATTTCCATGTAATGAAATGGGCAAGGCTGCCACTCTTTACGACTGATATACCTTCTTTGATCTCTATTGGTGATGCTTGTTTTTCTTTTCCCGAGTACGGTAAAGCAAGTAGTACAGGGAAATGAATGAACAAATGAACAAACAAGTAAACAAATAAATCAACGAACAAACAAATGAATAACCAGGTGGCATTTTATGAGACAAGTAAGCTATAACCAAATAGTTGGAGCTTCATCAACCACCTAAGAAAAGCAGAATAATTCTAAATAGTGAGAAAAAAACTTCACTTCACGGAACAGCTCTAAGATAGAGAAACCTGAAAATGACCTTTTGACTTTTGCTCGCCTTCTTATCCCCAACTTCCCTATCGAAAAAAAAANAAAAAAAAATAAAAAGATTCAGTAGCCTAGGTAGGTGGTGAACGGTCCAAAGTGAAGGAGGGTAACGGTGTTCGATGACGAGTCAATGAGGAAAGATTTACGCCGTATTGAGAACGAATAATTATGCTGACCGTAGACGAATTGGGTCATGATGCTCCATTTTTCACTACTACGTCGAAATCGTAGGCAGTGTCCCATGATCCCAGGCTGATTTCATGTGTAAAAGCTAATTTTGTTCGGCAATAGAGATATTCCAGCAAATATGCGGAATTTTCCGGACAAATAAGTCTTTTGTTGTTGCAAATGGCAGAACGAAAAGACCGCTTCCCCGAAAAGTCCATCTCCAAGTAAAGACACTTGACAATTCTTTTTCGAGTGTTTCAGAAGGGGTTGGTATGTTGAATATCTTATAAAGAGAAGGTATTTTACTCAAATTGTTCGAAATGTCCCAAGAATTCTTTTCGAAGTGAGCTGCTCTACCTGATCGCCCTAACTTTATAATTACCTGAGTAATGCGCGGATTTCAAGACAGTGATTTATAGAGAGCAACAAAATATGTTTTTCGTGAAAACAACGTATTTGGGTACTATTTGGTATTTTCCAAGTAAAAGTTGACAAAACACGTCGCTAATGTTTATCAAGTCGTAAACAACAACAACAAAATTAGTAAGTCCCGACATAGTATTGAAATAATTGGCAGTGATGGTTTCAAAAGGGAACCAGAACGAAACAAACTCGGACTAAACACATCAGAGGTTCTTACTCGTAGATAGCTTGGAAGGTTCCTGTTCATTGAGTGAGTACTGACCTTCTGTTAGATTCACATTTCTTAATCCATTCAGAGGTGGGCCACTGGGTCCATTTTATTCTCCGTCTTAGATCCAACGTTGGATGTCAGAAAACAATTTAAAACGGTTTGGTTGAATTTAAAAAGTTGATATTTCCCTCTAGTGCTCTTTACAAATTCTCCAATAACTAAATTTCTGATACACGGTTCATAATAGAGAGCGATCAGGATTCACCCTAAAAGAGCACAGAAAAACTGGTTGAGTCTCGGAAACGATATAAGTACTGTATGAGGTGCTTGCTGATAAAAAGTGAGAATTGTTATGATGTGGGTCAGACCAATGGGTATGGAAAGTGAATCCAGTACACTCATCGTAGCGTTTTAACCAGCTCGAGGACAGCACTCAACGAACAAGTAGTGAAGAGTGTCGAAAAACCAGACGCTCGTCCTTCGGATATCTCCCCGCTCCTTTCCCGCTCCTCCACTTCCTTCACCAACCAGTGGCTTGTTTCCCTTAGTAACGACATTCTTCACCAAATAGGGTGGCATGGCATAAACCACTTGTAAGGGTAAAAAGTTCCGGAAGTAGAATGAAAATGCGCTGCCACATTTGAATTGACCGTTCATTACTAAATGAGGGAGAACCTGGAGGAATCTACTGGTACCAGCAAATTTTTCAGAGGGCTATCTCTTGTTCTTCGTTGCGGTATCTTCTGACTGGGCATGATACTTACTCATTTTAACTCTCAAGGTCGAAGGAATTCTTGAGGGAGCATACCATTTCTAACGAGGAGAACGGTCGTCAAGAAGGCAAAGAGAGAATCTACACTAGCTGAAGCTTGAAATACGAGCTCTCCACTCACTTTCAATCGCAAACATTCATTTAAATTCGATTATTTTTTCAATTAGTTATCTGAACTCTACTACTTTCGCACTCCATTGCAGATTTTCGAATCATTCAAAGGCCACTGAGTCAATGATAAGTTGCCGAGATTCAATATAGAAGTATTTAGGTTGATTGAAAATTTGGCACCAAAGGTAAGTGAAAATAATTTCTGAGAACCAACCAACCTTCTCATCAGAAGCAGTAGCACCATCGTTGCCCAGCACCCGTCGCTAAGCTGCTCATCGGTCTTCACATATCGGATGTCCTTTGCCATGTCCTGAAGAAGCTGTATCACTAAATATAGCGAAAATACTTATTGGTGGATTGGACTAGTTCGTAATTTTATTTGACAGCTTAAGTTTAATGGTGACAGTGTGTTGCTGAGTGGCGCACCATCACACGCATCGGCCAGGGATCGGATGCCGGGCCTGTCGGGCCTGTATTCGCTTAGACGGATGAGGCCTTCTGTCTCATCAGGACCAGGTCGTTGATGTTGGACTTATCTGGAAGGAAAGACATACAGTTTGTTTGCTGGCCCCGCAACTCACTGTAAAGCCCAGTTTGTATTCAAATGTCACTTCGATTTTGAATGGATGTCGAGGGCGGCGCGCATTCCTAAGACGGACTTTATCAACGGCACTAGACTCTACTATTTATGAAGACCCAGGTAAATAAGTTATCCTCAACAGCTCAAGTTTGGAAATGGCGATAGCAAAGAATGAGGCCGTTAAGCAGCCTTGTATTTGGGCCCATTACTTGTAAGTCTTTCTGTGATACGATAAAGTATCAGATGAAAAGTAAACGCTTGCGGATAATATTCCTTTTTCCAGGTATTTCCCGCAAAATAAAAAAATTCGAAAGCGGAGGTGGTATGGTGGCAAGTGGTCACGGGTTTATCTCACATGCACGGTCACGGGTTCGAATTCTTCGATATCCGCTAAGGCCAACCAAGCCTTCCATCCTTTGGGGGTCGGTTACTTATTACCAGACTCGTCTGGTAAATAAAAGCCTTGACTTGTACATCGGCCGGCCACCGCAATTCATTGTATAGGCCACATAAGCATTCATTATGCCACCACGATTCTGACTGGAGGTCGAACGCGTGGGCGTGTTCCTCGATGGGATTGACTAACGCCCCGGGACTTCATCCTTTATAGACTTTCGAGAAATTTCAAAAGTTTCTCGCCCAAGTTGCCGAAATTCGCCTCCGTATAAGGGATCACTTTCTATTCCGAACGTGCGAGCGAACATTATTTGCACTAAAAAGGGCGGCTGTTTGAGTAAAAGCCTTCCAATGAATACGCGTCGAACACTTCAGAAACCAGTACACCTGTGCGTAACTGCAACGCAAACTCTGTACAGGGATCAGTCATCACTAGTGGGCGTTGAAGTTAGTCGATCAAAGTGAAATGGCCGAGGTTTTTGAACTGAGTTTCCTCGATTGTGTCACGTGGAAAAGAGGCATGAATCAGTAGTCCCAAAGTAACTTATCAACATTTGAATAGGAGCTTGTTTTGAGTTTTTGTTCATGCGTTGGCGATGGCCTGTGATGTGGCAATATTTACCCGAGTTCAGCAGTTCAAACAGTTTTTGCCAAAAATGCCGCGTAGGCGCTGTCCAAGGTGACCGCACTCNAAAACTTTGTCAATAAAGGTCAGCTGATCAGAAGCAGAATTAGAAGACATACTCAGTTGATTTCCGATTCTTTCTATTTTCTATATCTTGGTAAGCGGGAGCATTACGAGCAACTGATTGTGAGTACATCTCTGGTAAAAATTACGTAAAAAATTCTCAGCTTAAATTTGGTCTGGTATAACCCAAAGACTTAATCGCCCCAAGAACTCGAATTTTTCGGTTTTTCTACTCAAGACGTCCCAGGTCAGTGATAAGAATACTACCACTAACGATGGCTAAATTTTCTCATCAGAGACACACTCCACGTTAAAATGATTTCGAGATTTCTGCCTCGGATGAATCTGTGACCTCCAAGGATGCCTGGATAGTAAGGGCCCCTATAACCGGCTAAGCCGGCGCAGACACCTAAGCCAGGCGAGTTTTTAAACGTTGTAAAAGCTGTATTGGTTGCTCCATTTGCTCCGGGACCCACACCTGGCACGCAGGGAGAGTATGCAAAGGCAGACGCATTCGAATAGCTCGTTCGAATACACCTTTCATGCAGATTCTCCGTAACATTCTCGTCTCGTCCAAGCACTAATTTAACTTCTTTCGCGAAGCTTGATTCGTTAGAACTGGACGCTGATCCGGACTATTGTTCCGTAGAGCTTCCAAGGCAAAACCCCTTGTTATCAAAAGCACCGCAACTATAACGGAAACTGTGCACATTTGAGTTGCAATCTCGGCGCATCAACCTTTGCGCGATTGAAAACAATTCCTTATCATCTTTTTCTCACAAAACGAAATGCCACATTCAAGCTGTGCGACGCTCGATGCCACGCACATATAAGCATAACCAAGCGAGGGTTAAGGTTGGTTTTACCACTTCTCCTGGGGTTTTCATCCCCTTTTGTTCAGTACTCCTTGCAGCGTTGGAATGATAGACTAGCTTTGTGATAGCTTTATCACGAATTTTAACTTTGTCACACACTTCTTACTCATGAGCATTCTATTATATAAATTCTTTATAATACGGAACTCACAACTGCTCATTTACTTATCTTGCTCGTTTATGGTTTGGGTTCAATCACCCAACTGAGATTAAAGTCGCAGTTTCGAGTGCGGGTGTTGTGAATTACATTCGTTACACCAGCCACCACTTGTATATTTTTTGGCACAATTTACCACACAAAGTATTTTGTTCGTAAGATTAGCTAAGGATGCTCCTCAAGCTAGAAAGTAGGAGCCGCTAACAGACCCGGTGATCGGATTGCTAGAAAACGTTGAGGGTATCGATGCAGTCGAGACAGAGGGAGAAGCTGAGACATAGCCAGGTTGCCGGAATGGAGTCTCGTTTTATGACTATTGTATCCATTGCCAGGACTGGTAAATTTTTCGCGGAGTCCATGAGTTCATGCAGAGCGATGAATTCCTTCTCTCTTCCATAACGTCAGCACGGTACCTGAGAGGAGTCGGAATATCTCAAGGGCGATGATCAGGCTATGTAAGAGCACTATAACTACATTGCCTGNACATAACGACGGAACCTCTATCATTTTTCAATCTTACACGCTTATTCTCTTGCTGCTCATTGCGAATTTACTAGATCCGTTAGAAGTATTCCTGGCGACCCTTGATTCACAACGAGCGAGATTTGCGATTTGGCGAATCGCTCCAAGTACCCGACTTGTTTAGAGGAATTGAGGTTTCTCACTAGGTATCCGATTTTCCTTGAGTTGATTGAACCTTGGTAGATTCTTGTTTTGTTCGTTTTATATTGTGATTCTTCCATTTAGCAATTAATTTTTGTAATTGTTGTTTTACCGCGAAGCAAAGATTGGGGCACGGAAAGGTCCCACATATCTACTCTGCATGATATTTGGTATGCGTTTCCTACATGATACATTCAACACTGTCACAAAACACAATTTCTTTACTATGATGTCGCTTATGATGTTATAATAAACTTTGTTTGACATTATATCTGTTACGGGCCTAACACCTACTATTGTCATTCACACGTCGGCGCAGCAACTGAAGAAAATGCTCCTAGAAGAAGTCACTCTGTCAACAGACTCCGTGTGGCCAGTGAATGACTTCACAGGGGGAAGCATTACCCCCACATTTTATGCCTGATAAAGTAGCTTTTAAAACTAAACAATTCGGAGCGGAGTTTCTCATTAAATGAAGGGAGATTCCGCTGTGGCGATACTTTAAAACAAATCTATTGGTATTGGACCAATACATCAATTCGATCAGATGGTTGACTTCGAATGATCGAGAGTTACCAATAATTACCAGGACATTGAAGATGTGTAATACCAGGCTATACTTCGCTACTACCAAATGCCCACCTCTTATGTTTATACTCCGTACGTGCAAACAATTATAATGAAGCGGACGGACACAGAGCAGCCGCGGAAAATGCATTCAATAACAGAGACCATAGAACAAAATAACCCATATATCGCGGAATCCGCGAGTTCGTACAGAACGAGGAATTCTTTCTCCCATAACATGAGCAAGCTTGTCTGGGAGAAATCAGAATCTCTCAACGGCGATGCTGTGAGACAATAAAAGCAGGCTATATCAGAACACTATAAATACATTGCCTGGAACACAGCGACGAACCTTTAACATTTTCCTCAGCCTTATACGCT